CTGCCTACAGGAGACTCACTTCAGATTAAAAGACACACACAGATGGAGAATAAAGGAATGGAAAAAGATATTCCATGAAAATGGATATTAAAAAAAAGCTAGAGTAGCAATACTTCTACCAGACAAAATAAACTTTAAAACAAAGACTATAACAAGAGACAAAGAAGGACCCTGAAATCCCATACTATCTAAACCACAAGCAACATGACTTAATGGAGAAGACGAAAATGTCTGCCATTCTGGAGTTGATGTAGGCAGCTATACTTATGTCAGACAAAATAGACTTTAAGCCAAAAATGGTAACAAGCGACAAAGAAGGTTTGGAATGTGCAGGGCTCTGTCAGCCCCAGGTTCCCATAGCATCACTTCCTCAGTGCCATGAAGATGAACCAGGTTTCTCTCTTCAGGTTTTGTTCCTAGGTACCCTGCCGTTTGTGGCAACATGGCTGGACCTTGAGGAATTATTCTAAGTGAGATAACTCAGACAGAGAAAGACAAATACTGTATGATATCACCTATATGTGGAAACTGAGGGGAAGCAGAGTTTTGCCACCCCAAAATATGCCTTTTGGGGGCCGGCCGAGTGGCACATTGGTTAAGAGTTGGCTTGGGATGCCAGCTCTATGCAGCAGGGCCCCAGTTCGCATCCCACATGAGGGCCAGTGACATTGCACCCTCTACAGCTAAGATGGTGAACAACAGCTCAACCTNGCCGCGGGGGCCAGTTCCGACTGCTACAGGCCAAGGCGACGGCCGCCACCGCCGCCCCTTCTCTGCAGAAGCCGCTAGTTCCTTTCCGCACTCGCGCTCCTGGCCCTGGAGACCATGAGGTTCCGCATCTACAAGCGGAAGGTGCTGATCCTGACGCTTGTGGTGGCCGCCTGCGGCTTCGTCCTCTGGAGCAGCAATGGGCGACAAAGGAAGAACGAGGCCCTCGCCCCGCCGCTGCTGGACGCTGAGCCCCCGCGGGGTGCGGGTGGCCGGGGCGGGGACCATCCCGCCGTGTCCGTGGGCCTCCGCCGGGTCTCCAACGAGTCGGCGGCTCCGCTGGTCGCAGCGGCCTCGCAGCCGGACGCGGACAACCTGACGCTGAGGTACCGGTCCCTGGTGTACCAGCTGAACTTTGACCAGACGCTGAGAAATGTAGATAAGGCTGGCTCCTGGCTCCCCCGAGAGTTGGTGCTGGTGGTCCAGGTGCATAACCGGCCCGAGTACCTCAAACTGCTGCTGGATTCACTTCGAAAAGCCCAGGGCATTGACAACGTCCTCGTCATCTTTAGCCATGACTTCTGGTCGACAGAAATCAATCAGCTGATCGCTGGGGTGGATTTCTGTCCGGTTCTGCAGGTGTTCTTTCCTTTCAGCATTCAGTTGTACCCCAATGAGTTTCCGGGCAGTGACCCCAGAGATTGCCCCCGAGATTTGGAGAAGAATGCAGCTTTGAAGATGGGATGCATTAATGCTGAGTATCCTGACTCATTTGGCCACTATAGAGAGGCCAAGTTCTCCCAAACCAAACATCACTGGTGGTGGAAACTCCATTTTGTATGGGAAAGGGTCAAAGTTCTTCGAGACTATGGTGGCCTCATTCTTTTCCTAGAGGAGGATCATTACTTAGCCCCAGACTTTTACCATGTCTTCAAAAAGATGTGGAAATTAAAGCAGCAAGAGTGCCCTGAATGTGATGTTCTCTCCCTGGGGAGCTATACTGCCAGTCGCAGTTTCTATGGCATAGCTGACAAGGTAGATGTGAAAACTTGGAAATCTACGGAGCACAATATGGGTCTAGCCCTGACCCGGGATGCATATCAGAAGCTGATTGAATGCACAGACACTTTCTGTACTTACGATGATTATAACTGGGACTGGACTCTTCAATATTTGACTGTATCTTGTCTTCCAAAATTCTGGAAAGTGCTGGTTCCTCAAGTACCTAGGATTTTTCATGCTGGAGACTGTGGTATGCACCACAAGAAAACCTGTAGACCATCCACCCAGAGTGCCCAAATTGAGTCACTCTTAAATAATAACAAACAGTACATGTTTCCAGAAACTCTAACTATTAGTGAGAAGTTTATGGCAGCTGTTTCCCCACCTAAGAAAAATGGAGGGTGGGGAGATATAAGGGACCATGAACTCTGTAAAAGTTATAGAAGACTGCAGTGAAAAATCACAATTACAAAAGCAAAAGTGACAGTCTTCTATTTTTGATATTTGTCCAAACAGGATAGACAATGAATAAAAAAGTTTAAGGACTGGTTTCTGCTTTAATACAAAAAAAAGTCTTGTAAACGGTGTCCAAATATAATCTTTTCCTTTTATGTCTGATAAACACAAGTTTTTCATTTTGGGAGTTGGGTTTTAAAGCTCAGTCTGTATCTGCTAAATAATTGTGAGAGGAGGGGAAATTTTACTTAAATTGCATTAATCTATTAATCTTTTTATCTGCAACTTTGTACACTTTTCCACTTTCAAGACTTAAGTACAGCAAAATTTATTTAAATTGTCACAGCAGTAAAAAGTATTACAATGAAATTGTTAGAGTATTAATGGAACAAGCCCAGTTTCACTCTTGACACAGTTACTAGGAAGGGATTGCTTCCCTGGTTTTATAATTCAGAAGTTATGTTTATTAAACACCCTGTCAAAAAGTCATTTTCAGTATTACAGATTCCTGTATTATTGTATTAGGGTTTGCCTGTGCTTTGGAACCTTCATAAAACACTTTCTTTTGGAATGTATTTGATTGATAAGAAAGTTTAAGCACTGTTTTCATCTCAATGTAGACATACAGTGGGGTTTTTTTTTCTTTTAGTGCTGCCAAAATAAAACTCATTTTTGCATAAAAAGATTCCTAATCATTTTGCAGAATAAATTGTTTACTCTTTACAGCAAAATTCAGTAAAGACATTCTAGAAGTTTTAAAGTTAGCATTACATCTTCATATTTACTATGTGTAACGTTATATAACGGAGTTTGAAATAAAACCCAGCTCTTGACAATGCATTCTCTTTGGAAGAAATTGGCTTTCAAAATTAGCCAGGCATAGATAATGAACAATAAAAAGCTGCTGTGTAAGTGAAATACAGCCAGAAATGGTACAAAGTTCAGTCATGCCAAAATGGAACATGTTCTAGTGCCAGCTTTAACTGAAATCATACTTTTTAAAAGGATAGATGCATAAATTATAGGGAAAAGGCTTAAAATTTACTCCACACTTAAAGTGGAAGCTTCCCTTAACAGTATACAATTACATTCAACCAAAAATTACTTAGACTAATATCTGTGTAGATATTACAATTAGTCATTTCAATCTAAGAAAATTGTGTAAGTGTGCAGTTTCAAAATTATTACACACATTAAGATTCATATTATAGTTGAAAAGTACATCTAAGTTGGGGCTAATAGTTCTTTTTTTAATTTCACAGCTTTATTGAGATATAATTGACATATACAGTATAATTCTCTTGCTTTGTGAGCTACTGCCCTCAGCCCAGTCTGATTTCAGATTTTATCAGGATTATAAATGTAAATCGCTGAATTGCCAGGCTTTGTACCAACTTTTGGTGCTCTGCTTCACAAAATTAATAACTTAGCCACAGATACATTATCTGCTGCCCTCTTAGGCATTATAAAGAAAATTGATTAGACAACATTGACTTTTTGTTTTCATATAATATAATGAAGACAATTTCCTGTGGGAGCAAATTCCCAGTACTTTTAATTGTCCTGTTCTAGAATTCATAAATGTACACTAAAAGCAAGAGGTGTTTTAATACTGTGTTTCCCAGAAAATAAGCCCTAACATGATTTTTCAGGATGCTTGTAATATAAGCCCTACCCCAAACATAAGCCCCAGTTAAGATCATCAGCCAGACATGACTGTTTGAATAAATGTAGATTTTTGTACATGAATAAATGAATAAATGTAGATTGTTGGAGCAAAAATTAATATAAGACCCGGTCTTATTTTTGGGGAAACACAGTACTATAATAATAACTTCCAAAAACCTCTTTAAAGATTAAACAAATTTTCAAAGTACTAAATAACCTGTATTTTATATATATTTTTTTCTGTGACACATGAAGAGTAGAGTTGAAGCAAAAATATTACATTTCAGAGTATTTATATTGTAATTGTTTGAATATTGGTTAGTAAAGTTCTAAGACTCTCTGTTTCAAGCATAAATACATTCTAATGAGACTTCCAAACAGTTTTATTCTACCCCCCAACACACACTAATATTTCTAGCTAATTGCATTCTTGAGAATTACTTGGTGACAGACAACGTAATGAATATTTATTTTGAAACTTTATTAAAGTAATGGTAAACAAAAGAAGTCAAAAACAACACAGAAGTAAATATATACAGGTTGTATTAAAACTAAACGTTTAACTCTCAGAAAAAATGTCTATCAGAGTAATCACAAAACTTACCTCCATAATTAAGAGAACTATGAACTCTGCATGCAAAAAAAACAAACTCGTTTCCCCATTAAAATCAAAGTTGCAAATTTTGATTTCTTGAATACTTTGTTTTAAGATAGAAGTTAACATAAAGAGAATCTATTTTAAGCCCAAAATAACACTTTCTTGAATATCTTCGGTTTTAAGTTAGTAGTTACCAGAAATACCTTAAGTCCAAAAATTTTTTCTCTTAACTTTTAAATTCTAAAATTATAAACTTAATCCAAGTCATACAGCAAAGAATTCTGAAAACTGAATGCACAATGAGTCACATGATCTTTAATAATCTGCACACTACCATCCTGCATATTGGTTTCTTTTATGTTGTCAAAACCAGGTATATTGTGAACTGCTAATGAAGACAGGTGATCTCCATCTAATTCTTTCTCATCAGTTATTACTGGTTCTTTCAAATTATCTTTTTCCTCATTTGAGTAAACAGCACCTTTTTCTTTTATAAATTCAGGTTCCAGTTTTGACTCAGGTTGCTGGGACTTTCCAAATAGCATTTGAGAAACATCAAGAAACTCTTGTTGCAAGCATGCAACTGAACCACAACTGTCTTTTTCTGGTGCTTTAACTACTATAGATGAATCAGAATCAGTTGTTGAGGTCGGAGGATGTTCTATATTTTCTTTTTCAGTTAGATGACTTCCTTCATTGCCTCTTTCTTCCTTTTCATACAGCTGCTCAGAGTTACTACATTCTTGCAACTAGGTCAAGAGAAACAACAAATTAATAATTCTTTTAAACTAATATAAAATTAAATTGTAGTACCCTCTGGAAAAAAATTTTTTTTTAATTGTGAGGGAATAACCTTTGCAAACCTGCAGACAGGCTTCCTCCTCAGTCATTCTCCAAATGCTGCCAGCTATTGCATTACTATTGCATTACAGTGCAAACCTAGCATTAGCTCTCTGATTAAATCCTTTCAATGACTCATCTCCCTCAGGATAAAATAATCCTGGCCTACAAACCCTTAAGCAGTCATAAGAGCATTGTTGAATTTCTGTGATTCTTCAGAGCTGCTTTCCCCCCAATTCATATAAGTCTATTTTGCTAGTTACGAAATCATTTGTGTGTCCAATACTGAAGACTAAAAATAACCAAACTTAAGATTCAACAAGAAAGAACAAATTGTAATAACATAGTTCCTATGGTTTTAAAGTAAAAAAGACTTGTTTGTCCCTGGACTAACTTCCCAAACGTTAGTTTCTCCCTATTCCTCATTGGACAGTTACTTTGGGATTAAATGAGATAACATATGTGAAAATGACTTGCAGTGTTTAGCACATAGTAAAATACATGCAAAAAAGTCTTTATTCCTCTTAACGTCACTCATCCCAACTATTATATACATTTAATTTAAAGTTATGACATCAAGAATTAAGTTAGTTATTAGGCTTTAATCTTGTCCTAAGTCACTATTTTATAAAGTCCACCAAAAAAATCCTTACCTTTGCCTGAATTTGAATCTTGCTATCAGTAACCTGAAGAACTTCAATTAATGGTGGGGTTAGGGGCGTTGTCTGTTCCAAAGGAGAGCTTAGGACCTCTTCAAGAAACTCATTAACATTTTCTTCATTGACAAACAACCTTTCCTAAAATAAAAAAAGTAAAACATATTTTGCTTTATAGGTCATACTTGACACAGTTGTGTCTAAAAACAGCTCATAAAAGTTCAGGATTACACTTTTAAAATGTTTAACATTATTCCTGCTGTCTTGGCCAGAGAAAACAGTAAGAAATAAGACTAGCAAGAGTACATACACATATAGGAAAAGACCTTAAAATAAAAAGGTCTTAGTTCCTTTTCTAGGTCTTTATTAAATCTGAGGTATGTTTTCTCTCCTAGATAATCTCACAAATGATATTTTCTTTTCCTTTTCTTAATATTTTATACAATTAAGATCACCTCTAGGACTATAAATGCAGTTCCAGCTATAAAATATAATTCCATTTTAGAACACTCCTAATGAGTCAGCTACGAAATATACATGACAGGGTCTATTCAAATTTTCTGTGACCAGTTTGCCTTTTAGTTCTTAGCCAGGTAAGAGTCAAGTATAATATTTTATTTAAGAGAAGTATATTCTATTTTTAAGCAATGAGATAATCCAGTGTGACACTAGCATATAGCTATAAGAATGAGGTAGCTTTTTAAACGATTAGGAAAAGCAAAAATCACTTTTACAAAAAACCCAGGTACAAAGCAATTTGTTCATATTCATATCAAGTGAATATAGGTATTTAGCTAGAGAGTTAAAGAAATAACCATATTTAAAATTCATAAAATCAGTTCATTGTTGACAAGAATACAAGTATTTTCCTCTGTACTTTCATATAAACATTTTATAATTACAAATAAAAACAGTTCATTATTTGGTCCAAATATGGGGAGGAAATCAGAAAGAGACAAGTTTCAAGTTTTCTATTAAACAGTGTTTGAACTTGGGAACACCTACCAAACAAAAATGAACTTTGGGAAGAGAAATATTTCTTTTGGAGTAGTTTGCCTTGCTATTATTTGAAGACCCAGAATGACACTGTATTATATTGTAGAAACACCCCCATTAAAAGCATTTCTAAGTTTCATGTCTCTGGAAAAGACACATTGATTGCAAAAAAATATACCAAGTAGTTTAGTCTTCAGTTAACCCAAGGAAAAAATTATAAGTATTTATCATGGAAATGGTTATGATTGAACTATACATGATTTGCATAAAATTGTCTTCACATTCTAATGGCTGATTTTACTATAAAAATACCGAATTCAGTGGTCGTGAAGCTTTAGGAAAATTCCTAGTGAATATTTAAGGCATTATATAAATATATTTTGTACTTGTTTATGTGTAAAGTAACAATTCTGACCTTAACAGCCACAAATCAGTCTTTTTACATTATAATTATTTTTATGTAATGCATATGATACAATCATGATATATTATCTGTCTACTCACCCTCTACTCTGGTGATTTTTAAAATTTTTACTTTAATACTTAGAGCTTGGTCTAGTGATAGTGAAATATAAATAAAAATTTGAACATTATGGTTTACCTATGTGATGATTAATGAATAAATTAAAAATCTATTTCAAACCGCAAAGATATAAAACAAGACATAAAACACAGCTGCCAAAATCCCATTTTGGTCTAGTTACTTTGCTAAAATAATGTTAGCATACTAGAAAATCAGGTTAAAATATATTTTTTAGTATTCTCTCAACTGTTTGTCCACAAAGCTTTCTTCCCTTATTGTGAGTTATTTTCACACTTATTAAAACAATTACAGGAAATTGACAGCGTTCCTAAATTTCCCCCTTCTAATGATATAAACAATAGTCAATTTCCTATTTTATATTCTCACAAAGTATCTTACCTAACCCTGGCTACTTATTTTTCCACTTTTGGTGGGTTTCAAATTAACCCCTTCTCACAGAAGATATCCCTCATAATATATAAATGTAACTTATTAGCAAATTTCTAGAAAAACAATGGGAAGAAGTGAAAACTTGTCAGGTTAAAGCCCAAGGCCCAAAACTTAATTTTTAATACATAATCTGTGCAACTAGTGGTGTTTCTGGGATGGGAATTAAACTTTTGAATGTGGTAAAAGAGCTTTTAAAATTACATGTAATACATACAAACCTCAGTCAAAACCACTAATTGTTAATTTATGAGTTGTTTTTTTCATGTTAATGAGGTAATGCTCCCATGTCATAACAAGGTTTGAGGGGGCACATCTCACAGAAGAGCATGAACATCCACTCATCACGCTTATGAACTACAAAAGGATCCATTTATGAGTTTAAAAAGTTCTTTAGAACTTCAAATTTAAGATTTTTTCAATATTTGCCAATAGTACTGGAGTACTGAATCTGAAATTCAAGGACCTCAAAAACCTAAAAAGTATAGTAGCAACTACAAAGGGATATTCTGAATTATTCATCAAAATTATAGCCTAAGTAAACTAGGTAATGCTTAGCCCAATTCTAGAGTATTTGCCCAGAAGAGGTGTTAAGTTTGACAAATGTTTATATTACACTTTATTAATTGCTAGCCATTGTATCAAATAATAGTAGGCACCTAAAGATGATTAAAACAGACACAAAAAGAGGGAATTTCAATGTAACATAACGCCCACCTGAGGACAACCTCACCATCATCAGCGACTAAAATCAAGCCTCACTGTATACTCCTATGGTAGAAAGGGCAAGGGATTTAGATTCACGGTTGGTTCTGAATTAGTTTTCTTACATAAGAACTCTGTGGCACCGGCTAAGTTACTTTTGCTCTCCGTAAGTAAATTATTTATTTTCAATGGTCGAACAAAGTATTTACCAACTTAAAATATGGCCATAACAAAATGATTCTTAAACTTATTTAGGTAATAAACCCCTTGGAGAATATGATTAGAGTTACAACCCTTCTCCCAAAAAGGAAACACCTTCAACTTTTGCATACAATTTTACAGGTTTACGGATCCTTGGGAATCCATTCATGTGCTCCTTCACAGTCAACGGACTCCACGGAAACAACTGCATTAAAGACAATTATGAAGACTTGAAACCCATCCATCAGAAGGGATGCGTATGTTCTCCCCTCCCCCCAAATATACGTTTAACGTTCACTGACATATTTCATCACGTGCATCAATTTCAAGAATTTCGAGATACGCTGTAATGGAAAATTCTTTGTTTAGGATAAGCAGAGAGGATGCCTGTAATAGCAGATTTTAAAAGTGGGATGGAATATTTCAAATATTAAGACTCTAGAAAGGCTATTACCTCCAAAGAATCGTTGTTTAAACCGTAATACCACTCTCTCCAATGTCCATAGCACTCTGCAGATTTGGCCAGTTCTATTACTGCATTGTTTGAAGAAATGCTAACCACAGGTTCTTTGGTACTCAATTTATTCTCTGGTGCAAACTTCAAAAACAAGGAATAATAAACTAAGTCTTGGGTGGAGAAGCACAATTTATACCAGATGGGGCTCACATCCCCTTGAAGACTTTGCTGCTGGATCCGAGGCACGTGAATTAGCAGCGTCAAGCACTTTTCATCCTGGGTACACTGCAGAGGAGGGCACAAAGGTTCCCTGCAGTCGGTCCCGGGACCACCCATGGCTGGATCAGAAGGCCCCCTGCCCGTGCCTTCCCAGGCCACGAGCGTCTCAAAGGTGAGATCTCCACGCTCACTCCCTCTTCCAGCTGAAGACCCCCTGTCAAGGTCCCCGGATGAAGTACAAGGGGAGCTCCCGGTTCCGGGAAGCGGTTTCTCCCCGATGCCCGTAGTCGACACCCCTTGCACTCCCAAGTCCCGCTCCTCCAGTTCCGAGACAAGCTCCTCCCCGGAGGCGCCCGGCGTGTTGATCCCGGAGTCTGCAGCCCCAGTTCTGTTGGGATCCGAGCCTCCGTCTCCTGCGCGACCCTTCGTGGGGTCCGACTCCCCCTCGTGAGCGGAAGCGCCGGCCGCGCCGTCAGTTCCGGACAGGTTGGCGGACTCTTCCGGCACCGCGGCTGGCTCCCGGCGGGCCGCGGACAGCGCCACGGGCAGCGTTACCACCAGCTGTCGCCGGGCCTTGTTGAACTGCGCCTTGCCGCGGCTGTCGTCCACCGGGTACGGGAGCGAGAGCCGCAGCCGGTAGTCGGGTTTCGTCGAGTCGAGGCACAGCAGCTTTCCCTTCACCTCCAGCGCCGCCTGCTCGGCCGAGCGCAACAACGGCAGCTGGATGGTGACCACCAGCTCCCGGGGCACGGGGCTGGGGGCCGAGTCCCGGGAGCAGCGGTAATCCTGGAGGTCCACGTGGTGGCGCTGCACCACGCTGTAGCGAGGCTCGGTGGGGGCGGGCTGCGGCACCGCCTCTTGCGGGGAGGGCGCCGGGGGCTCCGGGACCGCAGGGTTCCCGGAGACTGCCGGGCGCCGGTAGGGGTAGGGGAAATCGGGGAGAGGGCTCTGCAGCTCCCCCTCGGGCCGGGCCGGGCCGCCTCCGGGCAGGGGCGTGCGCAGCACGGCGGCCTCCGGGGTCCCCTTATACTTGATCTTCAGGGTCTTGGCATTTCTGTGGTCCAACTTCACGCCGAACTGCTTCTCGACGGCCTCCAGAGCCGTCGCGTCCAGCATCTGGCGGAAGCCCTCGTGGCGCCGGGCCAGGGCGAGCGCGTCCGGGTGGAAGACCACGTCGTAGACCGTGTAGCGGCTGCCGCGCCCCCCCACGTACTCGCGGCCGGGCGCCAGGCTGTAGGGCAGGGACCACTGGCTGCCGGCCGCCGCGCTCCCGGAGCCGGGCCGGCTGGTGGGTGCGCCCACCAGCGCGTTGCTGCACACATTCACGAAGCAGCGCCGCGCCCCGTCCAGGCTGGTGCGCAGCACATGGCCCGGCTCCGGGTGCACGAACCGCACCTCCACTCCGCGCTCGCGCTCCAGCGCGGTGATCTCCTCCTCGTAGCGCCTCCGGTTCTCGGGGTCGGAGAGCTCCTCGGCATACTCGGAGAACATTCGCCGGAACTGCGGGTCCTGAAAGGCTGAGGTGAGCCGCTGAACCTCCTCTCCGCTCAGGTCCAAGTCCTCCAGCGGCGAAGAGGCTGCCGCCTTGGTCATGCTACCCCTCGGCCTCTATCCTTCAGTCCGAGGGAGATCAATCCGAGACCAGGTGAGACCGACGCGCAGACGAGTCGCTGGTCCGCGGAGAGTGAGGTGGCGGAGGTCGGTAACCGCCCGAGAATTGTCTAGGGCAGCGCGTGCTCGTTGCCGTGGTGACAACGCCAACACCCGGGAGGAGGGGCAGGAGTTGGAGTGGGATGGTGGAAATGCCAGAAATGCATCTTAGTTTTATTAAAACCAACTACCTACCCTACGGTTCGTGTTTTCTAGGTTCCTTTGCCATGGTGCAGTTACTTCTGTGCCGGGATAACTGTCATACTGTGAATAATTGTCATAATTTCCAGCATTATGTACGAGTATGTTATCTCGTTTATTGTTAAGAACATTTCAAGGTAGAACTGATACCATTTCACAGACAAGAAGATGGGACCTGAGAAGTTACCTGACCAGGGTCACACAGTGTATTCACAAGCTGTGATTCAGACCTGTGTTTATCTGTCTTTATCACGTCTCTAAACCAAAATTTCGTCTTCTGGATATTTCACCATACTGTTTGCCCTGTAACAACTTTCATCTGGGGCAAGAGAGATGGGCAGGCTATTAATAAATAACTAATGATCAACAAACATGTAAGACTACATTAATAAAAATGCAAATATAAGATACCACATATCACCTATCAAAATGGCAAAGGCTTTTTTTTTTTTTTTACAATTACCATACTTCCTTGGAGTGGTAGTGGAATTTAGCAAAACCTTTCTAGAGAGTAGTTGGTAGCTGTATGAAAAGCTTTTAGGAGTATATACTTGATCTAGCAATTCCAACGCTAAGAGTATGCTCAAGGCAACTTTATGGTTTGGGAAGAATTTAACCATGGGGCTGGTTGAGCAGATTTGGGTACGGCCATACAATGGGATTCTATAATTCAAAGTGATATTATAGAAGAATATTGACTAGAGTAGTTATTAGTAGCTATTAAATCCAGTGATTATTTTTCTGTTCTCATTTTGTTGAAACTGACCAACATTTAACACGATGCTGGCATTACCTCAGGGACAAGACACTTTCCATGCTTCTCCTCATCAGACACTTGACACTACATAGTTCGCTTTGCAGGTTTTTACCTCTGGTCAGTGTCTAAGTGGAAATGCCTCAAGGCTGGGACCCCATCTTTTCTCCATTTACTCTCCTTCACAGATAAATTTACACTCACAAACACCAGACATATATCAGGTTCTAAACTCCAGACCCCTAAATCCAGTTGCTCATTTAAGGTCTCTATTTGAATGATTTTTTTTTTTAAGATTTTATTGGAGAATTAGGGGAGGGGAACAGCGTTGGGGAATTGGGGGAAGGGGAACAGACAAGTTGCTGTCGTTTTGTTCTTCAGTCTAGTTGTGGAGGACGTTGCTTCACTGGCCCATGTTGGTATTATCACTGTGCTCTTCCCGGCTGAGGCAGATCAGTCGCCGGCCACTGGACGGCCACTCACGGTGGCTCTTGGCAGCTCACACCTGCTGCCAGCCGCTCACGCTGGCTACCAGCCACACACAGTAGCTTATGTAAGCCCGCTGCAGCCTACGCCATCACCGGAGACTCATGGCAGCCCAGCTCCAGGTCAAGCTGTTGTTCAGCATCTTAGCTGTAGAGGGCAGTGTGGGATTCCATGTGTGATCTGAACCGGGGCCCTACTGCTCAGAGCTGATGTCCCAAGCCAGCTCTTAACCAATGTGCCACTCGGCTGGCCCTCTATTTGAATGATTTAATGCTAAGCCCATAAGGCTTGAAGTGACCAAAAACAGAACTCCTGACTCCTCTCTCCCTACTTCTGCCCTCATCTTATGATCTCTTGGCAGCATTCAAAGCTGGATACTTGAACCTCTGGCAGACACTCATTGCTCCTGTGCGCGGGCCCTTGAGTGTCAAGAGCTTAAATGTCACCTTAGTGACTCCCTGTGGTATGCTTCTCCCACCTCCAGCACCCCATCTAAAATTGCCCACATTGTTTTTCTTTTCAACATGGTTCATAGTTGGTGTTGTTTTTTATAAAAGATTTTTATTGGGGGATTGGGGGATGGGAACAGCGCTGGGGAATTGGGGAAGGGGAACAGACAAGTTTCTGTCCTTTTGTTCTTTAGTCTAGTTGTGGAGGACGTTGCTTCACTGGCCCAAGTTGGCACCATCATTGCACTCTTCCCGGGCGAGGCAGATCAGTCACTGGCTTCTGGATGGCCTCTCACTGCGGCTGCTGGCCGCTCACGCTGGCTGCTGGCTGCACACGGTAGCCCATGGCAACCCACTGCCACAGGGGCTGCAGCCTAGCCTTTGCCGGCGACTCATGGCAACCCAGCTCCAGGTTGAGCTGTTGTTCAGCATCTTAGCTGTAGAAGGCAGTGTCACTGGCCCTCATATGTGGGATCCGAACTGGGGCCCTCTGGCGTCCCAAGCCAGTTCTTAACCAACGCGCCACTTGGCCGGCCTGGTATTTCTTTTGATAGGGTATGGCTCGCCCCATTTGAAGGTAAGCATCATGAAAGCACGGACCTTGCCTTCCTGGTTTACCTTCCCCAATACCTAGAACATAATAGGCACTCAGATATCTAAAGAGTGGATATAGTAAAGAAAAAACCAAGTTTAGTATGTATTGTATGACCCCAAAATATTTTTATAAGGAAGACATATATGCAGAGACAAATCTGGAAGGATATATATCAAAATATTAACATTATCTTTGTTGGTGGAATTGCAGGTCATTAAAACTTTTTTTCTTTATGATTATATTTCCAAATTTTTCTTTAATGAACTTGTTTAATAAAACGTTTAAAAATACCTGGGCCGGCCAAGTGGCACATTGGGTAAGAGTTGGCTTGGGGCGCCAGCTCTGAGCAGCAGAGCCCAGGTTCGGATCCCACATTAGGGCCAGTGACACTGCGCCCTCTACAGCTAAGATGGTGAACAGCTCGACCTGGAGCTGAGCTGCCATGAGTCTCCAGTGACGGCGTAGGCTGCAGCCCCTGCTGCAGTGGGCTTACATAAGCTACCGTGAGTGGCTGGCAGCCGGCGTAAGCTGCCAAGGGCCACTGTGAGTGGCCATCCAGTGGCCTGAGACCGATCTGCCTCACCTGGGAAGAGCGCAATGATAATACCAACATGGGCCAGTGAAGCGACGTCCTCCACTAGACTGAAGAACAAAAGGACAGCAACTTGTCTGTTCCCCTTCCCCGATTCCCCAGTGCTGTCCCCCCCAATTCCCCAATAAAAATCTTAAAAATAAATAAATAAAAATACTCTATCATTTAGGGCTTAGCTTTACATCTGGAATGGCTTTGAGGCGTAAAGATGAATTCTGGAAGATCGTTAAAGCATGTGAAGGATGTATAAAATGGCACCCTTTTCTATTATAACCCTCATGTCAGTGAACATACCAAATGATTGGTTTTAACCTACTTTAAGATACCTTTGTAACTTCAAAATCTGGACGTTTCATCTTAAAGGCATTTCCAAACATGAACACATCATACTATGCACATGACAACAGACCACACCTGTTTGGAAATGAGAATGGTCTTCGGAGTTCTTGAGTCCTCTGAAATTATGTGAAATCATGAGTGGGGCTAGGCTTGTGTGGATTTTTCTGGGTGGGGGCCCTTAGTTTTCACTGGATTCTCTAAGAAGGGTCCATGCCTGCCACCTGGTCGAACTTCTTACTATGTGACATAAAAAGCTCTGGGAAAGACAATGTGGAGTAGTAGAAAATCTCCCATGCCCCCAACATGACCTCTTGCCTAAAATTCATTCCTTGAGGAAAAGCTATCCTTATTAAAATATACATGCCTTTTGAAAGGAGGACTGAGTATTAAGACCATTATCAGTTAACCCCTTGGTGCAAACTGTCTTGTCTCGTCCTTCCAGACACTGCATGCCAGCAAGGACACTATATTGGGAAGTAGAGGTCCAGAGCAGATGGTCTGAGACCTACTGACAAGCCACTGGGTGCTCCAGTCTGTGCAGTTCCTGGCACTTCCTGTGGTTTCCCAACAGGGAGACCAAGTGTTGCTTTTCTCATGTCAGGGAAATCTTACCCACAGCCATCATGTGTAATCTGCCTCCTACCCCGATGTCTGCAGTAAGGTCAGCCATGCTTCAGCTGATTAAACACTGTGTCAGGGAGCACAAAAACCTGTTTCTACCCAAAGTAGAAGCCCAGGATACCCTCAGGGCTGCTCCTCCACTGCCCTGTCTTTCAGACCTCTGCCTCCTTGTCATTTCTGGGCGATGCTGATTGCCACCTGGTTTTAGTTCTTGTCTTATTCCACTAGTTATTGCCCAGTTCTGGCATCTTATCTGCTTTTAATTAACTACCTGCTTCATCTCACTTCACGTTGCTAACCCCTAAATGCACTCTATCTTTCTGGCCATTAACTGTGTTCCTAAAGAGATCTCAAAAAGCTCATCTTTATTTATTTGTTAAATGAATGAGTTAATGAGTGAAGGGACACCTTGTATCCAATTTNTAAAGATGAATTCTGGAAGATCGTTAAAGCATGTGAAGGATGTATAAAATGGCACCCTTTTCTATTATAACCCTCATGTCAGTGAACATACCAAATGATTGGTTTTAACCTACTTTAAGATACCTTTGTAACTTCAAAATCTGGACGTTTCATCTTAAAGGCATTTCCAAACATGAACACATCATACTATGCACATGACAACAGACCACACCTGTTTGGAAATGAGAATGGTCTTCGGAGTTCTTGAGTCCTCTGAAATTATGTGAAATCATGAGTGGGGCTAGGCTTGTGTGGATTTTTCTGGGTGGGGGCCCTTAGTTTTCACTGGATTCTCTAAGAAGGGTCCATGCCTGCCACCTGGTCGAACTTCTTACTATGTGACATAAAAAGCTCTGGGAAAGACAATGTGGAGTAGTAGAAAATCTCCCATGCCCCCAACATGACCTCTTGCCTAAAATTCATTCCTTGAGGAAAAGCTATCCTTATTAAAATATACATGCCTTTTGAAAGGAGGACTGAGTATTAAGACCATTATCAGTTAACCCCTTGGTGCAAACTGTCTTGTCTCGTCCTTCCAGACACTGCATGCCAGCAAGGACACTATATTGGGAAGTAGAGGTCCAGAGCAGATGGTCTGAGACCTACTGACAAGCCACTGGGTGCTCCAGTCTGTGCAGTTCCTGGCACTTCCTGTGGTTTCCCAACAGGGAGACCAAGTGTTGCTTTTCTCATGCCAGGGAAATCTTACCCACAGCCATCATGTGTAATCTGCCTCCTACCCCGATGTCTGCAGTAAGGTCAGCCATGCTTCAGCTGATTAAACACTGTGTCAGGGAGCACAAAAACCTGTTTCTACCCAAAGTAGAAGCCCAGGATACCCTCAGGGCTGCTCCTCCACTGCCCTGTCTTTCAGACCTCTGCCTCCTTGTCATTTCTGGGCAATGCTGATTGCCACCTGGTTTTAGTTCTTGTCTTATTCCACTAGTTATTGCCTGGTTCTGGCATCTTATCTGCTTTTAATTAACTACCTGCTTCATCTCACTTCACGTTGCTAACCCCTAAATGCACTCTATCTTTCTGGCCATTAACTGTGTTCCTAAAGAGATCTCAAAAAGCTCATCTTTATTTATTTGTTAAATGAATGAGTTAATGAGTGAAGGGACACCTTGTATCCAATTTGTTTATAATTTTCTGTCTATCATTCATGTTTAGCTCTATGGTTCTCATAACTGGACCAACAAACTAGTGGAGTCTCTTTTACTACCAGTTTCAAGGTCCAAATTATAAAATTTCCCAAGCAATCAGTAGTAAGTTTTGGACTTATGCCTTGATGGCATCTTTAACTTCTATTTTTCTAGGCTATTCTTGAAATTAAATTTTGCTCTTCTAACATCAGGCCTCTTCTAACGTTCTTCCCAAACTTTCCATCCTCAAACCACATCTCATATTGCCACTTCACCTTTAATTATTAATAATTCATTTGTCACTACATTCACATTAAATTTTCTTGAGGAATTTTCCCCTCAATATGTTTTTATCAGCCTCTTTTCCCCAAAAAACTAATTTTCATTAACAGTAATGTGTTCCATTTCAGGCTCTTTGTAATATTAAGGTTACTCCTGCATTTGAAACACTCTTTGCACCTCTGACAACTTCCTGTCATTCAGATTCATTTCTGGGCTATTGTTGCTAAGCCATAATCTAAAAGGAAGGGAATAACATTGAGTGATTATACACAAAATAGCAAAACATGCTGCTTCAAAGTAAACATATCTTCTAATGTAAAAACTATGGGGACTGTGTTTTTAAATTTCCAGTGCCAAAAGATAATTATGTAATGAATAGCAGTAATATCCTGAAACAAAAGTTTTCACTATCAGGATAAATTAGGTGACTTGAAATTTAAACAATTTGAAAAACTGCTGAATATACTGTTAGGATGCTTATGGTGATAAAAATGTAAATTAGACTAAATGATTTAAAATTTTTTAATATTTTTTTCTTTAAGTGAACATTAGTGTATGACTAATATAAAAATAATGGAATTTCAGTTTTTTGGTTTTTTTTTTAAGCTGTGGGTGGGCATAGTCCACCGTCGAACAGACAATCTTGTTGTTACACCAGCTAAGCCATCCTGCCACCTGTTGGCAGCTCAGCGACAGCTCAGCTCGGGCACTGCGTCACTGGCCCAGCATCACTGGCCCATATGGGAATCAAACCGGCGGCCCTGTTGCTCAGAGCTCGAGCTCTTAAGCCAACGCTTTTGTTTCTTTTTGTTTTTATATTGTGAAATACACATTTTTAAAAATTAGTTTCAGCTGTACAACACAGTGCAATAATTAAACTTTTTACCCCTCGAAGTGACAATTCCCCTCCCCCAATCCGCTGCCCCACTTCCCCCCCAATATCATACATATCTATTACAATTCCCTTGACTCCACTCACACACTATACTCCACGTCCCATGACAATATATATATATATATTATAGTTGACATACAATATTATACATCAGTTTCATGTGTACAGTGCAGTGATCAAGCCTCTACCCCATCTATGATGTGGTCTCCCTAACAAGACGTGACCATCTGACACCCTACAAAATATTTACAACATTATTAATTATATTCCTTGAACTGTTCTTAAGCCAACTCTTAACCAACTGAGCCACTCAGCCGGCCCTGAAACAGTTTTTAAGTGCACATGTATAATTAGATTATATTTTTATACATATTTTCATATATTTCTTAAGACTGCAGAAAATATTTTCCTATAAAACTTTTAAAGTGTACCATCATGTTTATTACAACTTAATATCAAAGTTTCATAAAATACAAATTTAAACATTATCGCGTTTACCATAATTTATTGTAACTTAGTATCAAAATTACATAAAGTATAAAATTATGCTGAAAATTGATGACTTGTTTCTTCAGGTGGGTGGTCTTTTTAAGAATCTCAAAAACCTTGAAGTTTGCTGAAAATAGAAAATATAAAATTAAACATTTTGGAAATCTAAGTTACTGTACATTTCTTAATATTAAGTTTTAGTTAATTAAAAAGATAGGTCAATACATGCATTTTATTCCAAATTGAAAAGGTGACCCAGGGAAAAATAAGTCAGTCTCACACTCTATTTCTGCTCCCCAGAAGCAACTGTATATATATTCTTATAAATATAGTCAAATAATATCTATATATAAACATGCGTACGTGGGTATATGCTATAAAAACACATACACAAGTGTCCACTATGAACACTATTCACCTGTTTTTCAATTAGTAATAAATACATTATATATTTTTTTAACTAATCCTTATAAGGCTTTCAAACTTAAATTAGAAGTTCTGAATAAGTACACATATTGAAATGAATATACATTTAACCTGTTTGTTATTACAGAAACTACAATAAAAGCAGCTGCACCAACTTTTGTGCATAAGCCCAGTTTACCTGTAGGATAAATTCCTAGAAATGGAATTGCTGGTATATGCAGTTTAGGTCTTAAGAAATCTTGTCAAATTGCCCTCCCTAAAGGTTTTTACCTCTTTTTTATTGACTAAGTATGTGTGAGAATGGGTATTTCTCCACTACAATACCAATATAGTGCTTTTAAATAAAACAGCTGTAACTGAGAGTACACGTTGAAACAGAGTTAACTTTATTTACTCTGACTACATTTCTGTGATTAACTCTGCAATATGATTCCACAAATGTTATAACGAGGTTACTTCTTAAGAGAAACTAAGTATCAAGAAGACCAAATCATTCCACTATACCTTGAACATTGTTTTCTCAAAAATAAAACATGCATCAACCTGTTTGATCCAGCACTGAAAAGATTCCTCAAATTATTAATACTAAATTAGTTTGGAAATTATGCCAAAGGTTTTCAGCATCTGAGTCCACAGAAGATAAAGGAACCAACTATTTCAACTCAACAAACAGCATCAAATGCTAGTCAAGTACTACTGTGCTAGACACTTAAGAGGACAGGCACATAAGTGACTTCTAATACAGTGTGTTAAGAGCTGTCATGGAAATCTGTTAAGTGCTTAGAATACAAAACAATTCTGCATGGCAATTGGGGAACATTACAAGAAATGTAACTGAAGTGTCTTGTGCTAATGAGACAGGTTAGTTAGTGTAATAATTAGGCAGTTAGGAATTCCCTGGTAGAATGAGCAGAAAATAAACTATCTTTAAAGCCTCGGCCTTGAAAACTCCAAATTTAAGATAACACTCTCCTGCCAGAGCAAAATCATTAATTATGCTCTGGGACAGGTCTCAGTCTCGGCCTTGAGAGCACAGCCTGGAGATAACACCCCTGCTGGAGCTAAAACACCAATTAAGCTCTGAGACAACTAGGTTGTTTAGAGAAACCCCCTCCAGGCTACATAAATCTGTACTAATAGACACCAGTTTTCTCCCCAGATAGGCTAGGAAAAGCAAATAAACAGTAGCCTCCCCCGCTAGTCAGTGGGCATTCCAACTTTCCGGGTGTCCCCACTCTTTGAGAGAGCTGTATCTCTTTGCTCTAATAAAACAGTTCTTTCTGCAAATTGCCTCTCTGGTCTGTCTCCATCCTTCAGTGCTACAAGACCACGAATCCAGGCGTCAATACACAAATCATCCTGCATCACTATCATAATAAATCAGTTAATTTTCTACTGTGCTTTATTTACCTATATCCCGACTTATTAAAAAAGGGATATAAAAAGGTTTGTAGAGATGTAATAAAAAGATAAAAGTAACTAAATAAGGAAACTCAGGTAAGGTGAAAATAAAGGTCAGAAAAGATGAAGCCAAGGCTGCACCAATTTTTATGCATATGCTTGTAATTCACTCCAAGTTTTCTTTTTTTTAAGTATATGCCACTGAAGCGAGCACTGTGCTTGTGATTCCTCTGTAGCTACAGATGGGCTGCACATGTGGCAGTGCTTCCTAGCGGCCAAAGGGAAGGGAGTCTGTTAGAAGATTTACAGTCTCCCTAAGATAAACAAATAGTGGCTGGGGGTAGATTTCTCTTTTTCTGAGACTGAAACCTGTTTAAGGTTCCCAGTACTGGCTTTCAAAGCAGGGTAAGTTTTATTCCAAATCTCAGTTCAGTAAAAGTCAATCAGAAGGTAGACAAAAATATGCTCCAGGTAGACAGCCCTCAGAGGAGACTTAGTCCTGGGGTCACAAAAGCAGATGTCCTCGGGGACATCCGGGTGTAGACAACGGGGAGTGGAGAAGACTGGAGGAGAGTCCTTGCCCTCACCTACAGGCAATTCCAAATCAGTTACTAATTTTAGGATTCAGTGTGGGCTCGGTAAAGTCAAACACGTGTCAGGCTTATGGACAGAGACTAGAATATCTGTGACCTTTATGAGAGCGTCTTATTATATTCCAAAAACTAAGCAGTGCCTGGAATACAGTAAGAATCAAATATATGTCAAATGACTAAATCCAAGGATAAAACTTAGAATTGTGTCGTAAAGGGAATGGACTCCAATCCTCCATGAGTATTGAGCAACAAGAATAATGCATAACTTTGTTTTCAATAAATATATATAGGAAACTGTCAGTCACAGGTTCAGGGTTAGGGAGCAGAGCTATTTTTCCTTTTCTATTTTATACTTTAAACATTGTTTGAAATTTTGTCATGTAATTATGCTGATTTTTATTTGAATAAATATGTTAATTACCAAAAAATAAAGACAATTGGACTGTGTTGGAGATTATGTTCTTTAACAAAAAATTGGAAGGCAGTTATTTGGTGTCGGAGACCAAGACCACCTTCCGGAGCTGTAAAGGAGAGGCTGGTGCAAGGCACACTCTCTGGCTGTGTTTTTGCAAGGCTGACACAGCATCTCAGCATAGGGAGGTGATGGTTTTGGTACACTGGTGATAAAACATCCTGGGTCCAATACATTTGTTGCAACATTGGTAGTAAACATCCTGCAGCTGACGCAGGGAACGTCCTCTGCCCAAGGCCATTTCCTTCCCTTTCTTGTCCCCGCATAAGTAAGGCTATGTAAGTAAACCATGGCTGCTGGACTGGGTCACTGCCCTTCCATCAGGAGACAGTTGTCTACCTAGCCCCTGCTTTCAAGTACTTCTTTGTCTATCTTTTCTTGATCCTCTGTCGCCCCCACTCCAGCCCCCCACTCCAGCTGTTGGACTAGCCACGCTGGACACAGCCATTTGGTTACTTGTTCTTAACAGGAAGTGGAGGCTTTTTCAAAACACATTTGATTACCTGACAAATTGCATGTTAGGGTACCTAAATCCAAGGGAAACAGCATCAAAATGCATATTCATGGGCCCTACAACTAGAGAGCCATTTGATAAATCTGGGTGGGATCCTGGAACTTAACACTTTTAGCAGAGACCCCAGATGATTTGTAATCAGGTGGTGTATTAGATCGCCCTCTGAAAACCACCACCTACCAGGTGGTTATTCTTTTTTCCCCTAAGACCTCCCACCAACCCCAATCCCTCACAGTCATCACACTATCACCCAGCTCCCCCCAACTTCTTTGCTGCCAATTTAAGGCAGATTGCCAAGGTTTTGAGAATCAGCCAGGTGGAAGGCAGGGCTGACCTCTCAGATAATAACATCATCAGTTGTCAGCCTGTAAGAGTACTAGTTGACCGCCACAGCTGGTCTGAGATGTCCCTCAGAAGACAAGTTTTTGATCTAGTTCATCACAAATGTGGCATCAGCACATAAAAGTCTATGTCACAGAGCATGACCACAATAACTTTAGCCTAGAACATTTCCAATGGGTCACTGCAACATTCCAAACACTTACCTATCTTCTACTGTCTTATTGGAAGGATAAAACACTTTGAATGAAAATCCACTTCTTGGAAAAGAGCCCTTTGGGGAGAAAAATGCCTGTAAGTGAATACTCAACTTTTATAAAAGAATTCCTATTTTTAAGGTCTAAAATTCACAAGAATCAAGGGAGCAAACTGAGCATAACATCTCTAGTGAAGATGTTCTGTTTGACATCAACAACAATGTTTAAGCAGTACAGTAATACCTTGGTTTGTGAGCATAATTTGTTCTGGAAACAAACTACTCGTATTGCAAGACATCACTCGTTTACCACGTTAAAATTAGAAATGTCTGTTCATCTTGCGAAACACTCACAAACCATGTTACTTGCAATCCAAGGTTTTACTGTATTTCCCAAATTGAAAAAGCCAATCATACTTATGTAGAAATTCTGAAGCAACTTCAAGGTTCAGCATAAAAAGGAAATAATAAAATGTGTACCGATAAGAATTTCCACATTCATCAGGCTTAGATTATGGGGGCTTGGGCAATTCCCAAAAATTAAAATCCTCCCAAAGGACAAGTACCATTAATATGTTTAAAGAGAATGGGCTACAGGCTCTGAAAACAATTCCTAGAAAGGAATCCCAAGGTGAGTTACTTTGAAGGGAAAAATACTCATGGATTTATAAGCTTTAGTGTATTCTTCTTATTTTTTTTTAAAAGTCACATTACTTTATAGTCATGTGTTATACTGAAAGTTTAAGAACTTTCTGTGTATCCCAAATTAATTCAGTATTTCATTACTACTATGTTTTTACTGCAACAGTAATTAAATACATATTTTAAATTTAAAACAATAACACTCTAATCTTGACAAACTATGACTATATAATGTTAACCACATTCTTACAGGGTTTATGCAGAGGCATTCAGTATTGGTCAGAGTGAAAGGATCATATTTGTCTGCGATGACAAGTAGATCAGGCACAGGGTACACTCTCAAAGTATAGTCATATGCCCAGTACACTGGGCAGACATACAGGGGAAGAGGAGTCAGGTGTCCTTGGGACAAGAGAGTCTTCACAAACTAAAAAAGAATGACACAAAACAAACTTTAGTTCATTTGTAAAAGTTAAAACAGCTAACAAATAATTTCAAATTAAATATTAATTACTAAAAGGAGTTAGAAAATTTAAGAAACAATTAGAACTTTGAATCACAGAGCTTTGGGAAACACGGATATGAGAAGAAATGAACTATCCTGTATTTTAGTAAAAATCGGTGAGTTTGCATTTAATACCATATACCATTAAAGCTACTCCTCCACTAGTCATATTGGAACAACTGTACCATTTACTAATTCTGTTCATCTAAAAATAATTCCATAGCTTGAGGTATTTAGCCTACATCAGCTTTAAATATTATAAAATAATTACAGAAAATGCTCTGTATGATTTGCTCCCATACTTCTCAAAAGGGGGTGCATGTAACCAGGTATTGATAATTATGTCAGGGAGCCTGGAAGCTACAAGATAAATACTACACATCCTCCTGATGTGGACATATAGAAAATAGTTAACAAACATGAACATTTTATTAAAACATATACATATATTTTGAAGTACAATATAAGGTTTATGCGTTTTAAAAGCAAAACAGAAAGCTTCAAATAAATTTCCCGCTGGTTTGGTGCTTTCCTCCTCCTGCTAGGGGATACTTCAGTGAGAAAGTTGAGCAACACAGACTTAGTAACAAAAATTAACGTACTGACAAAAGTATGTTCAAATTATTTTGAACCATAAATAAACAAAAGGGCAAATTACTAACTGGCTTAACAAAATTTTACATAATGCAACATGTAAGACAGTTTAATAAAGAAGACTCTTCAGCCAGCGTGAGCTGCCAAGAGCCGCCGTGAGCGGCCGTCCAGAGGCCGGCGAGCGACTGCCTCACCCAGGAAGAACGCAATGATAATACCAACATGGGCCAGTGAAGCGACATCCTCCACAGCTAGACTAAAGAACAAAAGGACAGTAACTTCTCTGTTCCCCTTCCCCAATTCTGCAACGCTGTTCTCCCCCAATTCCCCAATAAAATCTTAAAAAAAAAAAAAGACTCTTAACTTACGTGATTAGGAATATCCAAATTGCTACTAGGAAAACGAACACAGTTTCTGCACATTTTATTCACTAAGTCTTCACGAAAGACAATAATTTCTTGTGTACAATACTGAATTCTGAAATGAAAACAGTAGTTGGATTTGACTTCCTCAGAAAAAAATATGAAGTAATTTAAAGGCAAAATATTGTATAATACAAAGCTATTCCCACTTTCCATTGTTTACCACAACAAAGATTCAACCACAATTATCTATTCACTCATTCATTTGACAGTAATTTATTGAGCTCCTAATATGTATACAGTTATGGCACTATTCTAGGAAAGTGTGAACAAAAACAAAAAGATCACAAATGAGAGAAGGGTGATCAGAGAAAACAAACAATACACATGATAATTCTATAGTTGTTGGAAGATGATTATGTGTATGGGAAACAGAAGAAGGTGGGCTAACTGGATCACTCGTGGGGAGGAAAGGTCTAGAAGGCAGCAGCAGTGAAGAGGATGATCAGAATGGGGGGGTGCAGGGGGAGAGGGGAAACTCATGATGAAGTTTGATTTGAGCACAGAACTTGAAAGAGGTGAGAGAGTTGGGCAGCTAGACAGAGGAAGCACATTACAGGCAGAGGGAACAGGTACAGCAGGATGGAGCGTGCCTGGCACATCTGAGGAACAGAAAGGATGCTTTGGTGACTGGAATAAATGAGGAGGAAGAGAAATAATCAGAGGAAATCAGAGAGGGAATCAGAGGCAGATCATGCAGGGCCCTGACTACTGCAAGGATAGTGGCTATTGCTGATGCCATGAGGGGTCCCATCTTTCAGGATCAGTGGGGGAGCCTTACATTTTAAAGGATCACTCTGATACAGTGTTAAGAACAGACTCTAGAAGGGCAGGTATTGAATGAAGCTGGAGACCAACTCGGAGGCTATTACAATAATCCAGGCTAGAGAAGAGGATACAGGGTCATAGAGGTGGAGGCGTAGAGAGGAGGCCAGTCTTCCTTCAAATTTTTGAAGGACTTGCTGAAAAACTGCAGGTGAGAGAAACCCCAAAGGTTTTGGCCTGAGCGATTAGAAGGATAAAGGTCCCATGAACTATGATGAGGAAGGATAGAGAACAGGCTGTGGGTTTGAAGTTAGGGTCTATTAGACATCCAGGGGGAAATGATGAGTAGGCAACTAGATACTGAGTCTGGAGTTTGGGAGGTTTGAGCTGGATATATATATATAATTGGAAGTTGTCAAAGTATGTAAGGCCATGGGACTGGATAAGGTCACCACAGGAATGAAGGCAGGAAGAAAAGAGAGGAGAACCAAGGGCTGAGGGTATTCCCTCAGACAGCCGTGATCACCATGAGCAGCACGTACAGTAAATGTGTAATCTTTTCATTCCCCCATTGTTACTTTTCTTAAAGCATGTGTAATGAGGATATCTATTTTTAAATCTCCATCCATTATTGAAGCTTCTAAATGCATTATTGGTGAATTAGTTAAATGTAGTTAAAATACTTCCAAAGTTTTGAGAAAACTAAAATAAAGAAATTTTATACTTATCCCATAACATTTAAAATTCAGAGGCAAATTTTAAGAATTAAATTTATTTTTAAATGAAAGGACAAAAAACATAATACAAAATTCTAATATTTACCTGCAAGGATTAGTAGTAAAAACGGAAAATGGTACTCTTTGTCTGAATTCATCAGTGATGCTTTCAGCAAGTGGTGGCCTACAAAAACAATTTTTGTGATACAGGATATATTTTTAAATTTTACAAGTTTCTTTACTGTTACAAAAATCTGAATAAAACTTACCTTGGTAAGATGGAACCAAATCCAGGATCCTCCGGACCAGGTACAAACACAAAACGACTACTGTAGCAAAATTCAACATAATTCATTTTAAAAAGAATACTGCAACACTATCCAATTTTCTAAAAGCCAGTTACTGCCTTTAATCAAATAATACATTTAAAAGATTTTTAAAATTTCATGCACTCTAATAAATGAACTACTAAAAGTCTCCAGATCAAAGCCATCCAGTAGACCTTTTGGAATGATGAAAATGTTCTATATCTGCACTACTCAATTACCGAGTGCTTGAACTGTGTTTAGTGCAACTAAATTTTAAATGTTATTTAACTTGAAAGAGACACATATGCCCAGTGACCATCATATTGAAGAGTGCAGCTCTAGACACTTAAGAGTATCATCACCAAGAAATTCAAAATGTGGTTGAAATTATCACTCATCCTTTTAATACTTTTCACTATAAATCTCTAGTACAGTGTAACATACATGATCACCATATGAGGATAATTTTATCTCTTAACTATACTAATTTCCTCAAATTTTTCTTCCATTCATTTTTTTTTTTTTTTTT